AGCAGGCGGAACGCCAGGGCCCGGTCGCAATTGCGACCGCTGCGACCCTGGTAGTTCCGCCAGTGCTCATGCCGTTCCACAACAGCTGGCGGGCCGGCATTTCACACCCCTGCTTTTATTCATCTCCAAAATACGCCCCTTCCTCACCAATGAAACCACAAAATTACTCATCCACTCCCTTGTTCTCTCTCGTCTGGACTATTGTACCTCCTCATTGGCCTTCCACTACACAGACTATCCCCCCTTCATTCTATCATGAATGCTGCTGCTAGGCTCATCCACCTAACCAACCGCTCAGTGTCTGCAACCCCCCTCTGCCGATCCCTGCACTGGCTTCAAATAGCCCAGAGGATAAAATTCAAAATATTAACAACCACTTACAAAGCCATTCACAACTCTGCCCCCAGATATATCTCAGACCTTGTCTCAAAGTATCACCCTAACTGTCCTCTTCCGCTCCTCCCAAGACATCCTGCTCTCTAGCTCCCTCGTCAGCTCTTCGCATGCTCACCTCCAGGACTTCTCTAGAGTTTCACCCATTCTTTGGAACTCCTTGCCCCAACCTGTCCGTCTATCTCCCACTGTGAATGCCTTTAGGCGATCCCTTAAGACTCATCTCTTCAGGGAAGCCTGCCCCACCTTAACCTAACCACTGAAATATCCCGTTCTCAAACAATTCATCCCCACACAGCTACCTCCTCATGTATCACTTGCCCATCCCTTTTAGAGTGTAAGCCCTAGCGTGCAGGGCCCTCCTTACCATCTATTCTTGAATTGTATTGTAATGTCTTCCTTATATTGTAAAGCGCTGCGCAAACTGTTGGCGCTATATGAATCCTGTATAATAATATTAATAATAATGCATTTCATGCACAATATTTACCTGCAGAAGCCTGCCTTGTGTAGACATCCAAAAGCCCTGAAACTCCTGTTGGGTGCCACCATCTTAAATGTGATGCCAGCAGCCCCAGCACACTCAAAGCTGTCTCTAAAGTGACACTCTACAGTATGGATAGCCAAACTACAGCTGTGGTGAAACTATAAATATCATAATGCCTCTGCAAGCCATGTCTGTGGTTGTCAGTCTTGCAATGCCTCATGGGATTTGTAGTTTTACCAGAGCTGGAAGATCGAAGTTTTGCTACCCCTGCTCTATAGTATATCCTCTTCACTCCTCCGTGGGCTGCTACATAAAAGGTTATGTAAGGAGGTAAAGGGAGGGACGGGGGAGCTAGGCCAGCACAGTAATTAGACACTCAGAAGAAAAGAAGGCTATGACATAGGAGGGAGGGGGTTATTCTAGAGAAATGCCTCTTCCCGATGTAGTCACATATTCTAGTAAATTGCAATTGAATAAAAAATTATTTATGAAAGGAAAAACAAGTAGGCATTAAAATGGTGAGATACAGACATCAGACACAGGCAGGATTCTTGAATGCTTAAGATCTTGACAGTGCTTCTATCTTCTGCAAGAGAGCCAAGATTGAATTCCCCAGTGAAGATACTCGTAAGTGTTGTACATGGACTATCCTTTAAATCTGTGGTTATCAACTGGTGGGTCACGACCCAAAGTAGGCCGCAACCCCGTGTTCCGTGGGTCGCCACGTGCCTTCCACTGCGCTAGGTGAGAGGTTCCTCAGCCACCCCCTAGCACAGCACTATCAGTTCTCACACCGAGCAGCCAATCGAAATATGCTGCCCTGCGCTGAGTGTCAGCTTGAAGTAGGGTGGGCTGGAGCTTTCGCCACGGGAGGGAGCTCCATCCATACGTGCATTGCCTAAAGCTTCCTTGCATGCCCTGTAGAGGTGCCTGGAGCAGAGCGACGTCACATTCTGGCTCCCGACACCTCTACAGGGCACGCAAGGAAGCATTACAAGCAATGCACGTATGGATGGAGCTCCAGCACAGCACAGCAGCCCACACTGGACTCCAGGCTGATGATCCACTCCAGTTCGTGAAACATAGGGAGACTGGGTGGATCTTAAAAAAAAAAAAAAAATTCAATTTTTTTGGAGTGTGTATGTGTGTGTGTGAGAATGTTTGTGAGTGTGTGAGATTATGGCTGTGGCTGTGTGTGTCTGTCAGTGTTTTTTAGTACCTGCTCACACTAGCATAGTGTGTTAATCACACAGCCCATGTGATGAATGCACTGTACCACGTAAAATCACACCTACCGCATGATCTGGTGTGGGAGGTGCGGTGCGATTTGTTTGAATGGCACCCCAAATGTACCTCCTGCCCACAGTTCAATCACTTGCACCAGAACACGCGATACTACAATGCCGTGTGTTTCAATGCAGTGCGGCTTGGGTTGGGACTTAATGACCAAGGACAAATGTGGGTCCTGAGGTTACACCTGTTGAGAACCACTGATCTAAATAGCGCCCAAAGTCTTCAGATGAACTCATCTTTCAACATGAAAAAGTGTCACAGATTTACTAACTTTAGAACAGAAATGAGCAATTGCATTACACAAATAATCATTGACACTGGTATTTCTCGTGCCATGTCTTTTTGAAATGCAAGCACTTCTGCTGAACTTTTTAGCCCCCGCTGCGCACCCCTAATTGCCTCCGTGGGGATGTAATCGGCCATCTCGGGGCTGCGGACACGGCAGAGCCCTGCTTCGTTCCATTTTAATTTTTCAGAAGTTTCGCCATATTGTGCAGGCAGGAGGAGGCAGGAGAGGATTCAGTGTGCCATGAAATTCCATTAGCCTGATTCCGAGCGCTTCAATTTGTTGGTCGCTCACAGCTCTCACAGATAACAGGCTCCTGAGCAATCTCCCAGTCACAGCTCTGGCTAATTGGTTATTGCAAGGCTGTTTGCAC